GTGGGAGAAGCGACACGTAAACGTGATTCGAAACCCAACAAAGTATGCAATATGTATTACTATCGCAATATTGGGACAAATAACCACATAAACTCACGTAAAGGTTCAAGAACCCGAAAACTCCTACTGCAATGGGTAAAATAAAGTAAGGATCAGGAACGAGCATGTCGGGAATCCAAAGCCCACCGGCGATGCTGGGATGAAAATCTGCTGAAACAAAAAGAAGGAAACTACTGAATAAACAACACAAAATAGAATTAAATTGATTATCTCACAGCTGATAACGTTCCTTATGGCGAATGAGGAAAATATCCACAGAGGAATTGTGCACATCTTGAGGTTTTGTATGCGAGTAGCCTGCAGACCGTGTTCACCGAGATACCTGAGGAACTGTTTGAGCCAGCTAGAAAACATTACAAATGTAAAGTCGAGAATTATGAAGAAGTGCATTGGTCGGGTAAGCTTTGTATTCGTGGAGCGCTTCGCAGTACAATAACAGGTTTCAGTCAGTAACGATACACAAACAGTATAAAAGTTAGCAACTTTCTCCAAGTGCTTGCTGCAAAAATTGTTCCATCGAATGTAAATCGCAAAACCCTAGGAAAATGTGGATGCTCATAGCGTCAAGCAAAGCGAATTTAGAGGAAGGTGGCTGGCTCCAGCTTCGTTAACCAGAAACTGGTAAGGAAAAAGACCTGTACACACTGGATCTCGAACAAAGTACGTAGTTGACATTACATCCTATTTACCTAATACAAGATCTTCGTCTGCCTGTCTGCTTAACCGTCCGTCACAAAATTCAGTATTGCTTGAAAAAAAAAACACCTCGACAGACTGAAAAAGTTGGAATGGCTAGAGCAGGGGCCAAATGTACGAAACTCAGCTTAGGTTAGCAGAGCTCCAGCCACGGTGGGCCGGGTATGCATGTTTGATTAGACGAAGTTTTTTTATGCTTGCCAATGACTTTCTAGCGAGAAGGACAGAGATCGGGAGAAAAGTGAGTAAAGCCTAGCAAATGAGGGAGGGGAGGGGGGTAGCAAGTGCGTTTGCTTTAGTTAGCGTTGTTTGCCATAGAACTTATAATTACAATGCGGTTCCGAGACAGCCCATAGAGCGGAAAAAAGTATATAAATGTTGACACCGAAGAACTGCTGACAGTGGGCGCAGCTTGCACCAAAAAGAACAGTTTCCCTTGAGCACGAATATGCTGATTCATGCTAAACTAAGCTACCCATAGAGACTGGATGATCCCGACCAAAAGAATTGTCACGCCCGTGAACCCGCAGAAAAAATATTTTAACAAATTTGACGAAAAAAAAACTGAGATGACGCCAGAGTTGAAAACGGGAGCCTCACCCATGACTGTTACTAATAGCTATCCCTACAACTGAAGTTAAACAAGAATATTTCTTTGGGCCCACTGTAGAGGTAGTAGCTAAGAATTACAGCATCTCGTCAAATGTGGATAGCTGCAGTAGCCGACGCAGGTGCAAGTACGACTGATAAATGGAACGCCATCTGCAAGGAGAAGGCACTGAAGGTGTGCAGCTTTATAAGGTATGATATTAAGTCTTTCCAAATAAATGAGAGAAAAATGATCACAGTTCAAGCTGGAGAACGACTTACCAATTTCTCGGAATGGGCAATAATTTTATAGTCTTTTGTTTTCAGTTCCAGTTTCGATCTCGTGGCGTTAGGAACTACTTCAATCTTGTAGTGTTCGCCCAGCTTCTGAAGTACACAAAAGGAGCAAATAATATTAAGCAAACAAAAATATGATCGGAATAGCGGAACAAGGAAGCGAAGTACCTTCAATATCCCTTCAGTGAAAAAGTTTTGAGCATGTAGTCTTCGAGCAAACAATTTTTCAGCGAAAATGTGCAGAGGAGATGACGCTATCCTTAGTGCCACACCAGACGCTACGAAGACAAGCGGCCATGAGAGACCAGCTCCATGTAAGGCTTCAAAAAGCTACAATAAACCAGTTCCCGATGCGTACAGTTGGAAAACCACTCACCCTCCATAGAAAACTGCAACCCTTGCGTGAAATAACAGTCAGACGCATATTGAAAAAGTGGAGCGATAGCTGGTGGGATCGTGCTAGCGTTACGGCGAGAGACAGCCTGAAATGTATTAACCTCCGCAAAGGTCTGACTACTGAAAGAAATAGCAATACCATTGAGGGGGGGGGGGTGTGGTTCACAACAGGACGCTGCATACTTAAGAGACAAAGGAATATTCAGTATTGCAAAGTTCAGCCGCCACACACAGAAAATGCACATAATTTTTGTGCTGACGCATGCAAAAGTGGGCTGCAATTCTTGCATTTTTTTTATTTGCTATACACAGACCATCGAAGGGTTTTTCTAGTTGTCTGGAGTAAAAGAAGACCTTTATACTCTTCTTAATGACACATGTCGTAGAATTCCCACCTATTTCGCGATTCAGAACAAGAATAGGTGAGACTTAACAGAGTGAAAACTGCCATGGCCACACCGGCTTCGCTTGTTCTAAGTTCAAGTCGCGCACCGTTCTCTTTGTTTTTCGGTAACCCTTCCGACTAAAATGTTCCCTGACGGGCAAATAGCGAACGAATGCGGAGCTTTGGTAAGATTCGCAGATAGGCGAACTGACAGTGTCAAACAAGGTACTTCTTCGAAAAATGGAACCCTGTTTTCTTGTATCAATACACCTGCATCTGGTCTTAGCGTAAGAGCTAAAATCAAAATCGTAAGAG